TTTTAGTGGACTCCTTTTTAATGTTAGAACTTTTTCACAATTTCGTTTTAGTTGCACAATTCTTATGTCTATGAGGAAACATCTTAGGAGCAAAATCTGGTCTGATTTTTAAACATTTGTCTCTGTGCCTATTGACCAAATAAGTTGATTTATGTTCTTACAAATATGATTTAAATTTAAATTTCATTTACCACATCAGCATTTCCATACATGTGAAACATGAATGTCAAGATACTTGGTCTCTAGCAGGTGCTTGTGTCATATCTCTACCCCTCCATGATGGTGATTTGCCATGCACACATCTGGACCAGTCTCTTCCTTTCATACATAAAAGCGTAGATGTTCGGGGAAATCAGTGCTGTTTCCATGGTCAAACAAAGTTGGTGGCAAAGCTAGTCTGGAAGCAAGGTCTCTAGATTACTAATTGCGATGTACGTGCTCCATTACTGTGTTATGGTTTATTGAAGTAGTGTCCACTGGCTGCTAGAAGTGAGACGCCATCACAGTAGCCATTCTTTAGAACATGGCTTACATTGTTGTATGCTTTCTGAAAGCATGGACCACACCTTTCCTAGTCTTCGAGTCCCCGATTTTGCCTCCAGCACTGCATATCCTCACTTTATAAATGGAGCAGTTGAAGAGTAAGTGCTTATTGAGCTAACGACACCTTCCTAGGGTAAGGAAATACTTTAGAGCAATCTATTTTTAAGATTTGCATTGAAAAATACCTAGAAGCATATTGCTTGAATACAATATGATATAGAGAAAAAGCCACGGGATTTGACATCAGAGAGACTAGTTTGAAATCCTGGCTGAGCCAGTTACTTGCAGTGTGACCAGGGCAAATCACTCAGTGGTTTGAGTCTCAGTGAAAAGTAATAGTAACAACACTGCACACTGCATAGGTTAGATATATGGACTGAATAAAATAATGTTTGTGAGAGCTTGGTAAAGCTGACATATTTCTGAGATTCAAAGAAGGATAAGAAAATGAAAGTCATAATTAAATATTATTCAATGATTCTTGGTTAAATCTAGACTCATGCTGCAAAAATAGAAATATTGTTCACAAAGTGAGACTCCAACAGAAGTCACAGAGCCAAACAGTATCCAGAAAAGCCCTGATGAAAAAGAAGTTATCTTTGCAGCTACACATGGAAATGCACTTAAATGAACAGATTTCTTCATAGTGTTACTTCTTTGAGCTCTGTGCTGTGAGTGAAAATCTGCACGTTTTCACACGTTTCTCATGAAAGGTGTCTTTTTATTGATGAAAGCTATTCTTTATGATTATAGCCATTTCTATGATGGTATAGATCCTGCGAAGGTCTTGGGAGTTTGGAGCCAGGGCAGAGGGGAATGCAGGGTCAACTTCTGCAAACTGAAACATTGTGTTTCAAAGCGGAATTCAATCAGGATCATTCCTATCAATGTCTCTTATTTCCTTTTCTTCAAAACATGCCAGACCACAGCTTCCTGCCTCGCTCTTGCATTTTAATCCCCCGCTTGGCATCACATCATGCTCCTGGCACAGCATGAATGACTTCTCTCATTGCTCCACCCCGCCCAGGGCTTGGGATCTGTCATCTGTGGCTGTCATTGCAGAGACGCAAATGAAAGCTCCTTTCAGGTGATTGAAGTCAACTGGGCATCGCCTGGTCTTGGCCCAGCAGGCATGTCAATGCATCACCCTCGGAAATAAATACACTCTTCTCCTTTTGTCATTCACAACTGCACACCCACATTTTTGCTCTGAGAACTCCATAAACCATCTCAAATCTACTTCTTCCCTATTGGTCCCTGCATCCCAAGTCTACCCACTCAAGATTCACCTACTCATTGAGGTCTTAGACATTCTAAAATAGGGTAGGTTTCACTTTTATCAACATGATTCTGGTGTAAACAAAGTTTGGCACCATTCCATTGTTCTTTTTGTCATCCTTCTTTCTGTCTGTTGCCTCTGTGCTACCTGTTCTCTGCCATCCAGTGCCCTGTGCATCCCCATTATTATCCAAGACTGACTACCTTCTTCTACTTTTTCTCTACCTCTAGATACACTAAAGACTCTATCAGTTGATTCATATATGCAATACAAAGATTTTTTTTTGATAAAAGAAGATGGTGACAATATAAACAAAATAATCTCTAATTGTGGAATCTGATACTTAACTAAGATGGAGAAATGATTTTTATGTAAATTTTTCTTCTAGTAGTATGACACAACACCAGTTGGCACTGAGCACCTAATAGGCGTTCCGTAGTGAAATCAATACTAGATTCTTTGTGACAAGCTTGCATAGATTTTTAAAGTTCCAAGGCCTTCTTCAATACCTGTTTTCTTCCCCTAACAAACAGAAATTTAGTCAATTCCTTCCTTTCATTCATTCAACATATCTTTCATGGACACTTATGTCATACACAATCCCAGTCATTGGAATGTATCTAACATTTATCAGTCCAGCGTGGAAATAACGTGTCATGAAGAATATGGTGATAGATGCTGAGGACAGGGCTGCTGTCTGGGAAATGTAGGGCCATACCCAGCACGGCTTTGGGTATCACTAGAGACCTTTATTCCTAAGCCAAAGGCTGAAAGGGAAGGGAGACATCCAGGAGAAAGGCAGAGGAGCTACTCTAGATGGGAGTGTGAATGCAATGGAGTGGATTTAGGAAGTGCAAGTGTTGGGCTTAGGGGCACCTTGCAGCGCTGGTGCAGCCTGAGGATCCCATGAGAGGCAGCATAGCATAATTTGCGGGTACAGATTCTCACCCTGCCCTTGATGAGCTGTGCCATCATGGGATGTTTATTTTTACCTTCCATTCCTCAGTCTTTTCATCTATAAAATAGGATTAAAAATAATACTTATTTCTAGGATTGCAGCGATAATTAAATGAGTTAATATATGTAAAATGTTTAGAGAAGTTCTTTGCTCGTAATCGCCGCATATAACGGTGTGTTTTTATTATCATCATGTTACAGGTCCTGGGTCCATTTATTGCCCTCCTCTCCTAGAAAACCATTCACACTCTTTCAAACCTCCAGTTCCAGCTCGTCTCCTGATTGTGAATCAATGTATTTTATTTTACTGAGAAAACGGAAATAAGTGAGAGAGAAGCCCCTCCCTCCTGAGTTGAGTCACGCACCTCAGCTGCACCCGTCTTGTCCATTGCCCTCTGGCTGCTGTGAGCAGGTCTCTGTGCTTCTATCCAACACCAGCCATGCCCTTTAGCCCTGAGACCCACAACTCTCCCAGTACTCTTCCCGGCAGCCTTCCCCTCACTGTCCTGCACCAGTGACTCACTGGGTCATTCGCACCATCGACTCTGCATGCTAAGGGAACCTGTGACCTACCAACCTCCTTGTAGCTGCCCATTTCCGTTTTCCCTCCTCATTGCAAACACCAACATCAGTGCCTCCACCGTTCCTGTGTTTCCCTAAGTCCACTCACACCATACTTTCTCTACTCCATGAGAACTGCTCGTATTAGTGGTAACAATGACAACTACGTTGCCAAAATCATGGCGATTTCCCAGTCCTTGTGTTACCTTATCTCCCAGTAGCAATTGTCATGGTCATTTACTCCCTTCTTGAAATATTTCTCACATTTGGCGTCTAGGCTACCACATCTCATTTTCCTCTTCTTTTCTCCTCGGTCACTACTCCTCTGTTTTCCAGCATGCCTTTCATATTGTTCACTTCTAAATATTAAAGGATGTAAAGCACTAACACTTGTCTCTGTTCACACTGCCTCCCTAGAGGAGCTTCCCAGTGCCAGGTGTTGAATAGAATCTCTTAACTGATGCTGCCCGTATTCCTATGCTCCTCCTTCTCCCGATGTCCCTACAGCTCACTCTGTGATTTCCTGCAGATCTCAGCTCAAATTTCACCCAGCAGAGAGGCCTTCCCAGGTGTCCCCACCCCATCACTCTATGTCTCCTTACTCTATTTTATTGTTCTGTACAGCACTTTTCTTCTTCTGACATATATTTATTTGTACATTCACAGCCTTTTAAAGAAAGGGGGCATGATCCACCTCATAGAATGATCTACCAATATGAAGCAAGCAGTAAATGTTTGTTGAATAAGAGCATGATCTTATTTGGTGCTGACAACACTCCAACAATCTGATTAGAAGGATTCTTACAGATGGGAACAAAATCAGATTAACCTATTGTCACAGAGCAGGCAGTTGAGGCAGCCTGCTTCCACAGAAGCCAGAGGGGACACAACGTCTCCCTCAGAAGAGTGCTTTTACTAGGTGTAGTTTATCTTGAAGACAATAGAGAGCCACTGGAGTGAGCACAACGGGAAGGTGAGGAGTGACATGCCCTTGTTACACTTCTGATTCCATCCAAATAATGCATATGATGGTCTGTCTCCAGTTTCCAGGTTACTAAGTATGCTAACTCAGAGACTGCTTTAGTGATTCATTGGAAAAGTTAGGCTGAGTGTGCGTGTGTGTGTGTGTGTGTGTGTGTGTGTACACTCTGCTAACATCAAACTGCCTGTGGTGGCAATACATAAGTCAGATTTAGTCAAGAACTTCAAATCAATTTTACCTTGAGGCCTGTGAAATTGAAAACCTCTTGCTGTTTCCATAGCAGCCTGCTAGTTGACATAATTCCTAAAGAAGCTTATATGTTAATGCCTAAGAACCATTTACTGTGCTGCTCATATCTTGCTGGCTGCCAATGCCATGACTTAAGCTAGACAGACTAGCACAATTTTAAACTATTTAAAGAACTTGTTCAAACTATAGTCAAAGAGCATAAAGTTTTCTACAAATATAATTAAATGAACTTTGGAAAATAACTGTATTTAAAACATTGGACTTCTTTAAAGTTTTAAGTTGTACGGATTCTGACCCTTGGGTCCCTTTTATATGGGGACGTCAGATGTGAGAGATGCTTGTATAGAGGCATTAAATGCCTTTGGTTAGCAGATGCTAAAATTTACCATGTTTCCAAGGTGGAATTAATGTATGCTTTCTGTTTGAAAGGGAACCAGCTACTCACCCTCCAATACCACCAAAGCCAAGCACTTCTGTTTCTTCTCCTAACCGACAGAGACGGGATAATAGGTAAGAGCTAGCATTCCAGAATTTCTTGCAAAAATGCAGTTCCAGGGACATGAGAGTAAAGGAATTGTGACCTGCTTTGTGCAGAGTGTTGATATAGCTTCTGGGCATGCTCTCTACAAAAGCACTTGTAGAGCTGTTTCTACTTTTATTTTCCAACCCATGTGCATGCTTAGGCTTTTGTCTTTGAGTAGGAGTGGTTATTACTTGTCTTATGGAAGGAAGTACAGCACACACACAGAACCATAGTCACATTCAGGAAGAGTTTATGCTAGAGCTTCTAATATGTTTTATGTATTATAAATATGTATGTATTTATATGTAAATATGTATGTATTTATGTGTAAATTTAAACCATACTAAGCAATATACATAGCTGGTTTTGTTTACTACTGGTGAAGTTTTCTGTTCAGAGCCACGTATTCTGATGAAAGATATTCTTGAAACTTTGTGTTACTACTCAAATCCTTACTAATGTTAGAATTACCTTTGGATAGTTCTTTTAACCTTTTTATTTTAAAGTCTAAGGAATTTGTAACTTATTTCAAAATTGTCACAAATCTGGAAAAATGTTTCTATTAGCATATCTCTGAATCAGGAAAAGTAGACATGCTTTTTAAAATAAGATTTCTTTATTTGAAAGGAAGCGTTAGAGAAAGACAAGGAGGGAGGGAGTGCGAGAGGGAGGAAGAGAGATCTTTCATCCACTGGTCCACTTCCCAGATGGCCACAACAGCCACGGCCACAGCCAGGCCAGGCAGAAGCTAGGAGCGAAAATCTTCCTAGGAGCCAGGAGCTCCTTCCAGGTCTAGCACGTGGGTGGCAGGAGCCCAAGCACTTAGGCCATCTTCTGCTGCTTGCCGCTGCTTTCTCAGACACATTAGCAGGGAGCTGGATGGGAAGTGAAGCAGGCAGGACTGAACTGGCACCCATATGGGATGCTGGTGTTGCAGGCTGTAGCATAACCCACTTCGCCACAGCGCCAGCCCTGCTTTTCCACTTTGAATCTCTGCCACTCTTTCATTACCACGTAGAAACAAAAGTCTTCCCATGTGTTCCTGTTAAAGCATTTAATTATCTGACCTAATTTGCAAGATGTGCACTCCACATTTCCATTATTATTTTGAGATTCAAAAATGGTATCTCAGGGAAGACTGCTGACATTAGATCTGCTTGATTGCCTGCCCTTGATTCTTTTCTAGTTTTGCTTTTGAAGGTAATTTTTGACTCTATGTATGACATAATTTTAGAATTTATCTGTATTAAGACATAATTATAGAAGTATTCCCCAGTACCAGGGTTAGCAGCTAGAAACTGCTGACTGGGCTGTCAAGCTACATGGCTCCAGGTGTGCTTCTTGTTGGGTTAAAACTCCAGATTAGAAATACGTATCTACTAAAACTCCAGATCAGAATTTCTACCTACTGAAAAGTCTTTGAAATTTTATCATTAGGATGAGAAGGTGAATTTTTTTAATGATTAACAAAAGATTTCTTCACTGTGCTAATTAAAAATACCAAAACAATTTATACCTTTTTATTTGTGCAATGGTTATAATTGTCTTCTAAAAATAAATTTTAAAGCTTTTTATCTCACATTATTTTTCCTTTTACTCTTACAGTATTGAACAAGTGAATTCTAATTTGAATGGGATTGTTTTAGGGGGCTAAAATAATTTGGTCTTTTGTCACATAAATTCTGAGTGCAATGCTGGAGAAGAGAGCTTGGTTAGGTTAAAAAAAAGCTAACTTTCACAAGAATTGTTCTAATCCATTTTTACTACTTTAATTTCTTTCATTCATGATCTGAAAAATAAAATTGGGACACTTTGCATGCTCTTTTTTTTTTTTTTAAAGATTTATTTATTTATTTGAAAGTTGGAGTTACACAGAGAGAGAAGGAGAGAGAGAGAGAGAGAGAGAAAGAGAGAGAGAGAGAGAGAAAGAGAGAGAGAGAGAGAGAGAGGGTTTCCATCTGCTGGTTCACTTCCCAATTGGCCGTAATGGTCGGAGCTGCGCCAATCCAAAGACAGGAGCCAGGAGCCAGGGGCTTCTTCTGGGTCTCCCACGCGGGTGCAGGAGCCCTAGGACTTGGGCCATCTTCTACCGCTTTCCCAAGCATAGCAGAGAGCTGGATTGGAAGTGGAGCAACTGAGACATGAACTGGTACCCATATGGACTGCAGGCATTGGCTTTACCCACTAGCACCCACCCCAACTTGCATGTTTTTTAAAACCTGATTACTTTAATCACAGCATGATGATTTTAATCAAAGAATATGAAAGGGAAGTATTTCCTATAATTAACACATGTCCTCAGGAGAACAAAAAATAGTTGAATATAGCTTCTTAGAACAAGCAAAAATGTATAAGTAGGTCAACCAGACTCTTAGAAAAAGAGCAGAGAAAAGCCTTATGTCATAAACTACGACAGCGCTTAATATGGAATTTAGTTCTGTCTGTTCAGAGTGACCATTCTCATCTGGTGGATGTACTTCAAGCTTATTTCTCTTCTTATCTGAGCAAATATTATTTCTTGATAATACTCAAGTGGGATAAGGCATTAAGAAGAAAATGGACCCTTTGATGTCTAATAACAGAAAAGTTTCTCAATAGTTTAAAATGAAATATCACTAGTTAACGGAAATAAGCGTAAAAATTACTTAATGATGAATAGAGACCAAGAAAATGAACATGAACATCTTTAAAGATGTTTCTGGGTACATTCAGTGGTTGAAAACATATGAAAAGAGATAGATTCAGTTACAAAATTAATGTATTGAGCTCTTTGGGATTTCAAAAAGGAGGTGGCTGAGTTCTACATAACCCAGAGCTAACGTAAAGTTTGTTATCTCAAGAAGTGGTGTGGTTCTGACGCAGGTTGATTTTTTTGAAAATAGCTGTTTTTTTAGAAAGTGAAATTTAATGCAGAAGTATTTTCTTACCTAACAGATGCTATCTTTAACTTTAAACATGTAGGCAGATATGTCCACCTAAACTAGCCACCTCTGCAGAAACCAATAGATCTGCTGAAAGAAATATAAGGTATGACTTCTATTTATATCTATGCAATTATAGCAATGATAATATATACTTTCTTAGAACACTTTAAAATTCAGAAAAACTAATAATAAAATAGATAAAAATCAATTTTCCATACAACTTCAATATAGTGCATAATAAATATGTACAGAATTATTTTCCTTTGAATTCTCTCCTAAGCTATATATTGATAAAACAACAAGCATGATCTGAACATGATAACAGGATAAGAGAAAACCCTTTGAAGGCAAGAAAGTGCATTTACGTCTGTCTTTTCAGCTCTAAGGTCTATAGCATAGTTGGTGTGGGTGTATCATTGAGTAGGGGAAATATAGTCACTTCCTAGAAGTGCTGCAACAAAAGCATTGCCCAGCACTGGCGGTAGGAAACCGTGTCCCACCCCTTTGCCCAAGGAAGGGCTCTCAAATTGAGTTGATGCCTTTGGGTAAGGCGACATTTCCAAATGTCTGGTTTCCCTAGGATAATCCTGATTTAGTCTACTTGTCTTGCACATTCTTTTAGTTTACCATTTGGTCTGGAAATATCAGCTTTTTCTTTCTTTTTTTTTTTTTGAAAATACAATATTTTTGAAAATAGTTTCAAAAACATTCCATGGATTCACCAAAATGATAACCAATCCATTAGTATAATGAACTTATTTAGTGAAAATTTTTTGGCTGAAAATTATTTTCAAAGTCCAAAACTTACATACGTTCATAAAAATGGCATTCCCTTTGACTGTCAGGAGAGTCCCAGCCAGAAGCATACACCGTGTGAACGCCTTACCTTTCAGGAGAGTCACATGTCCCTTGTACCTAGGAACAAATACAGCTGGCAGCAGTTCCCAAACTGGGTTCCATATGCCACAAGGACTCAGCACATGTTTTGAGAAAGAAGAGCTTACCAGACCAGTGCCTTTAGGAAACACCATTAAATAGAGTCCTGTGCCTCAAGAAAGTCCTGCTTCAGGACACTTCAATGTGCTTATATATATTCTGAGTCTAAAAATAAGCCACACATCCCACCCCACAAAAATCCCTTCTTTATGGAACTCTATCAATATTCTATGAGACATTTGTGAAACATGGAGATTAATTAAAGAGTTATCTATAAGGATTTTCCTAATTATTCCTCTTGATGATCCAGGGAGGTCAGTGTCTATGCAAACCCTTTATCTCTCAGGGGCTTCCTTCTATCTTGTAGCTTAATATATACTTTCTGGCCCTTTGGAAGCCTAAAAAGGCAGATATTTTCATCCTTATTAAGGGACTAATTAATTGTCTGGACTTGCTTAAGGCTCTTTGGCTCTGGGAGAAAATCTTTTGAACTCATTTCTGTGTTTACTTGTGCAGTTAACTAAATTTTCTTTTTTGTGTCCTTTTTGAAATATAGAACATGAGAGAGAAGCCATTACAAATGTTATTTCAGTGAGTGCTAGATGGCAGAGCCAACACCCAGGTGTGGGAGGACAAGAATGGTGTGTGTGTGTGTGTGTGTGTGTGAGTGAGAGAGAGAGAGAGAATGAACAAGAATAGAGGCTGTGTGTTTATGTGTGCCATGAGCTGATATGATAGAACTCTGCTAGCTTGATCATTCCTGAACACCACCTGACCACTATGTAACACTTCTTCATGAGAAGCAGATGAGAAGTTTGAGCCCCTTCAAGGACAGCAGGACTGTGATTAACCTGTTCTTTCTCATTGTTTGAAGGCGTCAGGATCTTGATAACATTGTCAAAATGGCCACTTCCCTTCAGAAAACCGACAAAGGGTGAGACCTTGGAGCTTTTGAGCTTTTCTTCTCATTGCTTTTCAAAAATGCTTTACCAGCACCTTTGAAAGTTCTAAGTCTGAACAAAACCCCGGGGCTGTTAATTATAAATAGTTTAAACGGGGAAAGCATCCGTGTGTCTGCGTAAGTGCCCCTGAGCAACGGGCACAGCTGACGTCTATGGCCAGACAGTCTTCTGCCTCTGCTTCCTCCACTGGCAATTTCCCCCTCCCTGTGACCCCAGCTGCCAAATCTCATTCCAAGCCTCCTGTTCTTTATTTACGTGACTGTCTCTTCAGCACTCCCACAGAGGATATCCTAGGCCTTCTTCAACTTCCTTCCTTCCCAAATATGCCATTTCCTGATTGTTCTGTCTTCTGATTCCAGCAGGCTTACCATTCTAGAATCATTCTTGACCCTTCTTTGTCTCTAACACTCCTCCATGTAGTATCAAGCATATATGAATTCACATATAAATGTATATATTCATATCTAAAATACCCTCATACACACATGGCCTTACCCCATTTCAGGCCTTGATTTACTTACAGTCCCTCAATCTCCTTCCACTAAACTATTACTTCTTGTTAATGCTGGCATTTTCTCCCTAAGGTTCTTCTCAAACAGTAGTTGCATCAGCTCTCCACTGCCCACTCAATTACATATAATCTCACTCAATTCCCTTGCTCCAGTCTCATGTTCCAGAGGTGTTTCTGACTTTACTCTTAAATTTATCTTACACTCAATATCAGGCTAAACCATTTCTTGTCTAAGTTCTCTGCCTTTGCTTATGTCAGAGTGGCCTTTTATGGACTACTATGTAAATCCATCCACGTCCTACCAGTGTTTCAAAATCCAGATCAAATATGCCCTCCTGGGTAGACTTTTCCCTGAGTGATCCAGCACGATGTGACTTTGGCCTCTCTAAGCTATGATAGCCCCACCTTTCATGCAACACCTAACTCATGGTCAGTTTTGTTCCATACATCTGTATGATCTCCAGACTAAGATTTAGAAAGTATCCTGAATGTTCCATTTCCATTTCTTCTCTTACTTATTTAAGTACCTAGATGTGTAATTCTACTGAATTTTTTTTTGAAGTATTGTTTTTCAGTAGGGATTGGATAGTGCTTTGGTAGGTGATCAGGATATTTGAGGGAGAAATAGGTGAATGATGCTAAAGGGAAATTGTGAGTTAGTGTAAGTCAAACAAAACAATACGAGCAGCAGTTAGTCTAATTTTCCTGTCCCCAGTCCCTAGGCACAATCTCACAGCATGATACATTCATCACAGAGATGCTGCTGCTTTGACAGGGACCAGGAAATATATCTGTGGCATCGTCACAGAGTATTGTTACTGTGGAGTATCCACAGGGGATGGGAAATGGCTTTATTTGAGCCGCTCTTTGTAAAAATGGACTGTTACTGCTATCTGATTAAGAGCATTTAATTTGCTACAAATGCAATGGTGAAACTTAATATCCAAAGCTTTCATCAATTTACAATCATTTTGAAGGCTCAAGTCCTGTATTGAGAATACTGTCTCCACTTTACTTAACTTACCAAAGAGTGGCTTCTCATGATTTATGCTAATTCTCTTGAGATAAACATGAGCCACTGCCAATCCTGTGAATCTCATTATTGTGACTCATACCAGTCAGAAAGATCTGGGACTAACATTTACAGGATTCTTAGGTTCGCTGTTTCCCTTAGGGATATGAACAAATTCTCAACCTTGGCTTTGGCAGGTAGAATTTCAAGCAAGAAACAATCACGGAGTTTGGGAGTGGGTAGTGTTTTTCCCAGACAAGCATAGGATGCTAAATAATTTTTTGTGAGCAACTTTTGTATTTTAGTATTTATTCTCAGCCCTCAGTTCTGCCATTTAAAATATAATGCTGCTTGAAAGGATTCATCTTTGTGATGGCTGTTAATTTAAAGTATTTTTAGAGTCTCTAAGGGGACTGCCCTCAGCAGCTATTCTTGCAATAATGTTATGCCAAGCAGCTTCAAAGCACTAAGTGTCTTGGCAACTCTATTTCCCTAAGGCTAAGCCAAAGTCTTAGTGTCTCTAAATGCCATTTGAACAATAAATATAGCAATCTTTTATTAAATGAGAAATGTAATATTGACTGAGTACTGTTTATTAAAATGGCCAAACAATTGAAAGTGTATGGCTTGCCAAGTATCATGCTAACCACTTTGTATTCAGTGCTTATTGATTCTTTTCTGAGATGGGTACAATTATTGTACTGTTTTTTTAAAAGATTTATTTATTTATTTATTTGAGAGGCAGAGTTACAGCCAGAGAGAGGAAGAAACAGAGGGAGAGAGCTCTTCAATCTGCTGGTTCACTCCCCAAATGGCTGCAACAGCTTGGGCTGGGTCAGGCCAAAGCCAGGAGTCAGGAGCTTCTTCCAGGTCTCCCACATAGGTGCAGGAGCCCAGGGGCTTGGGCCATCCTCTATTGTTTTTTCCATGCCATTAGCAGGAAGCTGGATCAGAGGTAGAGTAGTCAGGTCTCAAACAGGTGCCCAAATGGGATGCTGCCATCACAGGAAGCAGCTTTACCTGCTACACCACAACATGGGCCCCAGTGTTGTGATTTATAGGTGGGAAAATTGAGTCAGCAAGAGGTTAGGAAGCTCGCCCAGGGTCACCGGTGAATACTTGATTTCCCTCAGACTGGAATCCAGGTTCCCTGACTTGGAAAACTGTAAACTACCGAGTTACTTGATCTTATGGCCTTCTCTTCAATGCCAGAGCTGTTTCAAAGAAGGAAAGAAGGGAAAAAGAACATTGAGAAAGCTTGGAACACATGTGGCTCTAGAGCAGAAAGAAGGAAGAACCAAGATTTGTAAATGGGAAAACTGGATGAGGCAGGCAAAATAAGTGAGACTGGGGGTCAGGAGAGAAAAACAGGCAAGCTAAAGAGAGGGCATGGGGTAAGGAGTGCACGGGGAGGTGAAGCTAGGAGCAGACCCCTGATTCCATCCTCCTCCCCAGGCTGCTTGGGGAAGGGAGCTGAGCCCACATGGATTAAGGGGAATACCCATACCCAGGAGTTTAGCTTAAATAGCTTGCTTCTAAAAATGCAGCCAGAAGGAGCTTTGCAGTTCTCCAGTATGGAAACAGAGTAGCAAATTTAGCTGACCTAGTATGAGGTTGAGAGTAGAATTCAAAAAAGAAGCCAGATGAACAAGTGTTTTCCATTAGCTACTTAGTGTAAATGTGTTGTGCAAAGAAAGAATCTGTAATTAGTTGATATATATATATATTCATAGATTCTATTAAAATGTGTTTTAAGCATCTAATATATGAAAGACATAATGACTGAAGAAGGTGCAATTATAAGATACAGTTGTATATTTTAAGATATGTGTAGGGGCAGAGGCAATCACATGAGACAAGTGTGCAATAGCTACAATACCAAGGCAAGTAATAAGTTCCATAAAGGAGCTGCAAAAGAAAGAAAGAAAGAAAGAAAGAAAGAAAGAAAGAAAGAAAGAAAGAGAGAGAGAGAGAGAGAGAGAGAGAGAAAGAAAGAAAGAAAGAGAGAGAGAGAGAGAGAAAGAAACCTCAAGGGTTCCAAAAACATAAGGGACTTTCTCAGTTAGAGGGATAGGGAAGGTTTCTTGGGAAAAGTAGCATCTGAGGAGAGCTTCAAAGGATAAACAGGACTTCCACAGATGATGAATGCGGGGTGTGCGTCATGTTTTGGAGAAATCAGTTACCTTAAGGCTTATCTGCTCTGACTCTAGATAAGCTTTTATTAATGTGAAATTTTTTCTTCCCAAAGTGAAGAATTGGATAATCTCATCAAAATGAACAAAAGCTTGAATAGGTAAGATTTTTATTTTTGCTTTGTTCCTGAATTGCACATTATAACATATCTCTTCAGTCTTTGTGCATTAGAACCTACCCACCAGCCTAGTCAAAGATATCCTACAAATCCTGAATAAAAAGCTGGCAGAAGTCATCGTTGTTTCTTCACATTATAAATGGTTATTAATGTACAAATATACTGATATTAATGTGTTTTTCATTTCCATACTCCATTCATCTGTTAAGGTAGTTATATAGGTAACTGCATTTATCTTCCTGAAATATTAATACGCTATTATATAAACAGAGTTTGGTTTAATTCCTGGATGCTTTTAGTTTAACCATAATAAAAAAATCACTTGTTGGTTAGTCTTTTTTTTTTTTTTTTTTTTTGACAGGCAGAGTGGACAGTGAGAAAGAGAGAGACAGAGAGAAAGGTCTTCCTTTGCCTTTGGTTCACCCCCCAATGGCCGGTGCGGCTGGCACACCGCGCCGATCCGAAGCCGGGAGCCAGGTGCCTCTCCCAGTCTCCCATGTGGGTGCAGGGCCCAAGTACTTGGGCCATCCTCCACTGCCCTCCTGGGCCACAGCAGAGAGCTGGACTGGAAGAGGAGCAACTGGAACAGAATCCAGCGCCCCGACTGGGACTAGACCCAGTGTGCCAGCGCCGCAGGCGGAGGATTAGCCTATTGAGCCACAGCGCTGGCCATTAGTTAGTCTTATCTCCTTATTTTGAATCACTTATAGTCACATAACTTAGAATAGAATAATAGAGAAAAGTGAATAATTGAGGCTTGTATTAAGGGTATATATAATTTTAATTATCTCTGTTTCCTCATATAGTAATCTACTAAATAATAGGGAACAAAATAAAGGAGACAACAAAGCAAAAAATGTCAAATTGATTGATCTGAGGATCGCAAGATGTAGTTTCCATACCCTGTTCTGACAATAATGATCTGTAGGCTTAGCTATGAACAAGTCACTTCAGCTTGCTGCTCTTGAGTTTCCTCATTTACAAAGAGATGCATTTCCTTAGTTTTATTTATTCATTTGATTTATTTGATAGGCAGAGAGATAGATAGAGATAGAGATTTTCCATCACTGATTCTTTCCCCCACTGTCTGCAATAGCCAGGTTTGGACCAAACAAAATACCAGGAGCCAGGAGCTCAGTTTGGGTCCCCACTATGGGTGTCAGGGACCCACGTGCTACAGTCATCTCCTGTTGCCTCCTAATTTGCACTTTAGTAGGAAGCTGGGTGGGAAATAGAGTTGGGACTCAAACCAGGCACTCAGATATGGGATTCAGAAATCCTAAAGCTCTAGCTTTATTTGGCTGTGCCAAATAGCTGCCTAATTTAGAGATGAAATTTTAAATCAGAAGTAACAGACCCCTCTGGCTGCCAAGGCCAGGCAGGTGTTCCCACTGTAGGAGACATAGGTGGTATGGAACCAGGCCAAAAGGATAGTGAATGTCCCATCCAAGGCGTGCAGCTGTTTCACAGTTTTACCTGAGTGTTGCCATACAGGAATTTGAGCCTGGTATGGAGGGCATTTTAAGGAGATTCAGGAAATTCAGGTTTCTCATGGTCATCTCTATCAACACCAGCTCACATTAATAATAGGAGTACTCCCTTAACCAAAACAACACATCTATGGAGCTAGTATGCCTAGCAGATGCCCAGTTTATATTTTTTATTTTATTTTCTCTGAGATCTACTGTAATTTATTTTGAGATTTTGAGGGTATGAAAATACCTGATTGGAATATGACAGTTTTAGGAGTTGAACTCTTTTTTTAAAAAGACTTATTTATTTATTTGAGAGGCAGAGTTACAGACAGAGAGAGGTCTTTTATCCATTGGTTTAACAATTTATTTTATTTTTTAAGATTCTTATTTCTTTATTGGAGAGATAACATTACAGACAGACAGAGAGAGAGGTCTTCCATCCACTTGTTCATTCCCCAAATGGCCACAGTGGCTGGAGCTGGGCTGATCCAAAGCCAGGAGCCAGGTGCTTCCTCTGCAACTCTCACGCAGGTACAGGAGCCCAAGCACTTGGGCCATCTTCCACTGTTTTCCCAGGCACACTAGCAAGGAGCTGGATTGGAAATGGTGCAGCTGGGATTCAAACTGGCACCCATATGGGACTCCAGTTCTGCAGTTGGAGGGTTAATTTACTATGCCACAGTGCTGGCCCCAGTTGAAATCATTTTTCCCAACCTACTCCCATTATCTGTCTCAGGAGTAAACTAGTCTGTATTTTTATAGAGTTAAGTGTTTCTTCTTGCCACTGATAATATTTTTTAATCAATATATTTAAAGAAATCAAGGTCTCGATGGTCTCTTCAGAGCAAATCCAAAGGTGGAGCAAACGGAGAAAAGGTAAGTGCATCTGTCTCTAATCTGAAAGTCTCATCTCCCAGGTTGCTTTCCTTATTCTTTCAGACATTAGCTGGAAGGTGGTTGTATCCTCTGGCACAGAATCGACTAGCAGATGGGGTAGTGCTCTCAGGACTGTACGTTTAGTTCAGACATAATTGCCCGGAAGGATTTCTGCTCTTCCATGCAATAAGAACGAATGAGCAATTCATGGAGAATGTTTATTGTGTCTGACCTTTCAAGATACCACACAATTTCATTTCAATGTGCATGTTTTCCCTCCCTCCCTCCCTTCCTTCCTTCCTTCCTTCCTTCCTTCCTTCCTTCCTTCCTTCCTTTTTTAAATTTGAATTCCTCTGTGTTTACAGAGCCAAAAGCCTTGAAAGTCTCATCTTTATGACTGCTCCGATTGACAAAGATGGCAAAGGGTAAGCTTTGGGGAAGTCAGGGCAGCCATATTAACTGAACCCTAGTCTGTATCCTATTTTTGGAGGGAGATGCCTTCTCAGAGCAAGTGTCTGGAAAGCTAGTGGAACAGGCCTACCATCAAGAGATAGGGGGTCAGGGTCAGGAGATTGGAGTGTGTGTGTTTGTTCTGGTACTGTTCCTACCTCCAGCATCAATCTGGTTGACCCTGGGCAAGTCACCTAAAATCTGGAGACTTATCCCATAAAATGCAGACTATGACCTGCATGACCTCCAATTCCCTTTTATATCTAAAAGTGAAAGAAACCCAACTGATTGTTACGTAGTGGACAATAGGCTGATTTCTCAATTAAATGTATTTGCTATAAGACATTTAGATACTTGGAACATAGCCCCTCATTCATGAGTCTTTAGAGTATACTAAAGTACTTTTGAGTTGGGATCTTGGTTGAATCACTTTTTTTTTTTTTTTTGACAGGCAGAGTTAGACAGTGAGAGAGAGAGACAGAGAGAGAAAGGTCTTCCTTCTGTTGGTTCACCCCCTAAATGGCTGCGAAAGCCAGGAGCCAGGTGCTTCCTCCTGGTCTCCCATGTGGGTGCAGGGCCCAAGCACTTGGGCCATCCTCCACTGCACTCCTGGACCATAGCAGAGAGCTGGACTGGAAGAGGGCCAACTGGGACAGAATCTGGCACCCCAACCGAGACCAGAACCCGCAGTGCCGGTGCTGCAGGTGGAGGATTATCCTAGTGAGCCGGTTGAGTCACTTTATATGCATAGGTCTACATATGTATTTGTAAATCTCTAAAGGTCAAAAGCTATGCTTTGATTTATTTTGTGCCATAAAATGGGTTAATTAATTATCTAACATTTGTGTGGTTAACTTATGATTCTAGAGATATTGATATCTTAGAAAACTGACTTATAATTGATATTATTTTTCATGTTGAAAGAAATCAGACTCTTGACAATTTCATTAAAGAAAATCCCAGAACACTCAGCAGTGACAAAGGGTAAGAATTTATGAAATCTCTACAGATTCTTTTCTTCGTATTTGGTTAGTCATTAAATTTACCTTCTTATCATGATAATTATTTCTATGGTCAAAGCTATTTTTTAATTTTTTTTGAAGATTTTATTTATTTATTTGAGAGGTAGAGTTACAGAGAGTGAGAGGGAGAGACAGAGAGAAAGATCTTCCATCTGTTGGTTCATTCCCCAAATGGCTGCAATGGCCAGAGCTGCACTGATCCGAAGCCAGGAGCCAGGAGCTTCTTCCTAGTCTCTCATGGGGGTGCAGGGGCCCAAGCACTTGGGCCATTTTTCTACTGCTTTCCCAGGCCGCAGCAGAAAGCTGGATTGGAAGAGGAGCAGCCAGGACTAGAACCAGCAACCATTGGGATGCCAGAGCCACAGGCAGAGGACTAAACTACTGCGCCAGGCGCCGGCCCCGTCGGTTATTTTTTTAGAAGATTTATTTGCGGTGCCAGTGCTGTGGTGCTCCTCACCAATATATTAAAGAAAGCAAGTCCTAGAAGTTTCATTAATCAAGCAACTGACAAAAACAAGAAAGGGTGAGAAAAGTTCCTGTCTTAAGGGGATCCCTTTTTATATATCTCTTTAGAAAGGAGTGTGCTGAGGTTTTCTCTACCACAGATGAACTATTTTCCTATTTAGGCCCATCAGAACAAGTAGGCAAAAAGCATATGATGAGTGGGGCCATTGTTGTGGTGTAGTGGGTTAGGCTGCCACCTGTAGTGCCGGTATCCCAGATGGGCACTGGTTTGAGACCCTGCTGCTCCAGTTCAGATCCAGCTCCCTGCTGGTTACCTGGGAAAGCAGGGGAAAGTGGCCTAAGTGCTTGGGACCCTGCACCCATGTGGGAGACTCAGAAGAAGCTCTGGGTTCCTGGTTTCAGAATGACCCAGCCCTGGTCTTATAGCCATTTGCGGAGTGAACCAATGGATTGAAGATCTTTCTGTGTGTCTCCCTCCCGCCTCTCTCTGTAACTCTACCTTTCAAATAAATAAAAAATAAGTCTTTAAATTAAGTGATATGATGAGTGCTACTGCCAAAGGACCACATATTTGTATTTTATTATGTACATGAAGGAGAAACCTGCTACAGCAATGCTGATTCTTTATTTTCTTAAATAATTAAACAATGAGTTAAATTTTTACATAAATTAGAAAGTGAAAAGGACAATATTGCAAAGTGAGAGGCATGTTGTTTTAGGTTGTTTTGCACTATGGCAGAAATTAATAAAGATAAACTAATGATAATTACATCAAATGTCATATTGGTCATTTGGTCTTATTTAGATTTCTAGGTTGTATGTAACCTAAGTAACATAAAGTTTTGATATTTTCTTCCAAAAAAGCCGAGATCCTGAATCCATTGTCAAAGTGAATGTTGGGACCAATAAGATCAGCAGAGGGTGAGAATTGCATGATGTTCCTGAGTCTTTGTTATTTTGTCCCAGGTTGGTTCTGTGCTCTTCTCAGCAAGACTGAAGACATCACAGCTTTGAGTTTGTCTTCTCTCTTCTGTGTCTGCTCTCTGGCCCAGACCTTCAATTTGAAGGGCCAGCAGTGTATTCTACCTAAATTTACATTTACAGCTCAAAAATATATTTACAGTTCAATAAAATCCTAGAGACTAACTTATTATCATTAGGTAAATTTTTATAATAAAAGTCAATATAATATCAGTATAATTTTTCCAAAAGCTGAAGCAAATCAGCAAGAATATGCAATGTGTATGTGAATACTATGGGATTATTCTGATACTGATCTAAACTTTTTTATTTTAAAGCAGTAAAGACCTTGATAATGTTATCAAAGTGAATCGCAAAGAAAATGAAAGTACCACTAGGTAAGACTTATTAGTGTCTTTAAATATGGCTTCTGTAAGTGAAAATAAAATAAAATGATTTGATCTTTTAGTTATATAAGCATATTTTATTAGCATGGAATTGGACAATAAATATTTGCCACAAGACCATCCATCCTTGACACAATAAAACTTTTTATTTTTGAAAAATTTCCCTAATGTTTAGTAGCGAGGGCCTTCCTGCCAGATTTAGTCTTTGGTTGACTTTAGAGAGGAGTTACTGAATTTCTGTGTGTCCACAGCAAGCACAGTTTTGACATTTTCACAGTGGATTTCTAAAATGATAAAGATAGCCAAGAGTGAGCCGAGTACGCAACTCTTGTACATCAGTTTATCTGAGAAGGGTGTCTGCAGGCAGCCCAGGGGGCAAGCTGGCAGGCCCCTGCCTCCCAGAGTAGTGACTCAGCACCACTTTGTCTCCTGCTGGCACTGTGATGACCTGGCACCAGAAAACAATCACAATGCTTCTGCTTCCCCTACTGCCTGCCCTGGGGCCCACCTATGCTCCTTTTGGTATCACTGCATGCATTTCAATGGGCTGACATATTTCCCTTTGAGAAGTAAATCACTGCTTTTCCTACTATTTGCTAATTTTTTGCTTTTTGTTAGGGTATAATCTATTCAAATGATATATTAAAAGGTTTAGGAATAGTTGTTTGTATGAAGACAGATACATTCTTACTATTCTCATTGTAATCTAAATATGTTGGTCTCATAGAATTGAGAGCATAATGTGATTGCCAGAGGCTGGGGAGAGCAGAGGGGAGGGAGTGATGCATAAAGATTATTTTTAATATTATTAAGGTGTTATAATTAAATTGTTATTCTTAACATTGTTCTTATTTAAAAACATAATAAGCAATTATGTCTGTTTTGTTGAGTAGAAATTTGTATTCTCTCTGGATCCCGTATAGAATTTAATCTAACTCACATGACCTCAATGCTGCCTCTTTAGGATGTTTTGTCAAGATGTATCTGAGTGCAATACTGAATTTGTTAAGTAACAGATAACATACATCCTGAGAACACAGCAAAACAAATTATACATTTGTTGTTAGCAACTAAGCAACCTTAAATGATCTTCAGCTCAAGATATAAGAGAAAAATTTTCATTTGCATTTCGCTTTGAAAATTCACGTTGATATAGAGTACTTGTGTGTTTATTAATTTTTCCAACCATTATTCACTTGATCATGTTTTATTTTAATGACATTCGTTAAGACTAATTTCCTTATTTAAAGGAAACAAGACCCTGATGGACTTATTAAAGTGAATCCTGAAACAAATAAAAATATCAAGAGGTAAGACATTTAAGCTTCCTCCTCCCCACTTTGTCTGGTATTTATGAGCACATTAGAACTCTAAGTGCTTATATTCAGGACAGCAAGGTAAGCATGTCCATACAAGTAATGCGCAGAAGCCTCTTGTGTTTAATTCTTGGGTAAAGTTTAGTTTTAAATGATCATGAGAAATTAAAGGGGAATTTTGACTGATCTTCTATGGTGAGTTAAACAGCTTATTCCTTTGTATGTATTTGGAGAATATATGTGTGTTAGTATATGTGTGTATATGTGTAAATACTGTATGTAAGTGTGATTTATTTGTGTATGGATAATATGTATATAAGCATGTTTTTAAGTACATGTGTAGGTGGTGTGTATATATATAACTAGTATGTGTATAGGTGCATATGGGGGTATAAATATATGTGTGTACATATTAAGTAGCATGTGTGTTTTTGTGAACTGTGTGTACATGTGTAGTGTATTTGTATCTAGTGTATTTATGTATTTGTAATGTGGTGTGTATTTAAAGATGAAGAGCTTAATAAAGTGAGCCTCTTTAAGAGAGTTCTCTTATCCATGAATTGAAAGGTCTTGAGAGCTTATGTCCTCTTGCTTTTATTTTTTAAAAAGCAGACAGGATATTGTTGAAATTGAGCTTGTTGGCAAGTTACTGAAAACAGAATACCAGATAACTCCGTGTGATTTCCCTTGAACTCCTTTTCATCCAGTTAGCTCAGTACATGGTATTATTTGTTGGTTCTGAAATGTGCCACTGTGGATGCTTGCGGGCCCTGCTGACAGAGCAACAGCTTAGCCAGCTAAAAGCTGCTGTGCACTGCCATGCTATCATGCTCTTGGTTGTGTGACCAGGTTGGAAGCACAGACATCCAGTGATTGAGAGATGTACATAACTGTGCAAACCAAAGACTAGAGATCTATTGATTTCCTTGGCTACCTAGTTTGTTCAGGGAGGTAACCTGAGGTAGTGAACAAGGAGTCTGAAAGACTTGGGTTCAAATTCTGACCCCCTCATTTGTTCAAGTGTGCCTCAATTTACTTACCTACAAAAAAGGGACCATAATACTTTCATGCTGGCATGTGGAAGATATAATTAATTGTTAAAGTAATAAAAGTTCAGGTGAATAATGCTTTCTTAATGATTTAGTGTTCAAATATTTACTGTAACTTTTCTTGAAAAATCAGAGTTTTCCTCTCAAATTTTCATTAGAGAATATTTCAAATTATGACATTGCTTTTCCCATGATGGTGTATTTATGTATGTATATGCCCAAGTGTACATTACAAGAGTACTTCAAAAAGTTGTGAAAACCTTATTTAGGGGCAAAGAATTTTCAAATCCCTGCATATGTAGAGGCTTCAAAAATGCATTGAAAATGCATATTATAAAAAACTGCATGAATTTCAAAAAAATTTTTGCACCAAACAAACTTATACTTTTTGTTCATTTTTTCCATGAACTTTTGAGGCATCCTCAAGCATTTATACATGTAAACAAATGTTTGTCTGCATTTGTATGTTCTTGGGCATGCATGTTTGTGTGCACTCAAGTAGATGTATATCTATGTATGAATGTAAATGCACATGGGTATGTGCATGTATGTAGTTATACATGTATACATATATACATGTGTAACTACATACATGCTTGTGTGTTCATGTACGGTTGAGTATGTTCATGCATCTGTGTGTATATAAATGTGTATTTACACGGATATGTGTGCACCTGAGTGTGTGTAAGCATATATGCAGTGCATGTATATACATTAGTATGCATCGGTTTCTGGGGTCCTTTAAAGATAGCGTTAGTCATTTCCTTTTCCTATACATATTGAAGTTCTATATATATCTCTTAAAAATAAAATCCTCTCGCTGGCGCCGCGGCTCACTAGGCTAATCCTCTGCCTTGTGGCGCTGGCACACCGGGTTCTAGTCCCGGTCGGGACCAGGAGAAGCACCTGGCTCCTGCCTTCGGATCAGCGTGGTGCCCCGGCCGCAGCGCACCCGCCGCGGCGGCCATTGGAGGGTGAACCAACAGAAAAGGAAGCCCTTTCTCTCTGTCTCTCTCACTGTCCACTCTGCCTGTCAAAAAAATAAATAAATAAAAATTAAAAAAATATAAAATCCTCTCTTTATTAAAAAGCTTTCAATGTTTTCCCACCTCAGAGAGGATAAAATTCTAAGTCAGTGATGGCCTTTTCTTTCTCAATAAAACCCAGCCAAAGGGATCTTTTTCTTTCAGGCTCACTCCTGCAGTAAGGCTTCTGCTTCTGCTGTTCCCTGCTTAGGATGCCCTAGCCCTGTGGTCACCCTGTCAAACAGATCTTTTCTGGCCGCTGAACATAATTAAATCACCATCCCCTCATACACTGCAGTACTACAGGCCCCAGGCACTTTTTAGAATTTCTTTTTCACAGTATATATTTTTATCTGAAATTGTGGCATGCATTTGTATACTAAATTTTGCAAGAATTCTTCAAAAAGTTTGTGGACAGATGGAATTAAAAGTAAGCATATTTTCCTGAAATAATTTTTGAAATTGTACACAGGAGGGGTTCTTCAAAAAGTTCATGGATAAATGCATATTATGAAAAAACTATGCACAATTTCTTTGCATCAAAATAAACTTACATTTTAATTTCATTTGTCTATATATTTTTTTTTAATTTGAGAGGTAGAGAAAGTCATAAAAAGACAGCACAAGAGAATATTTTCTTCTGCTGGTTCATTTGCTGAGCACCTGCTATGGATTCCAGCTTGGGCACTCTGACGTGGGATGCAGGCATCTCAGTCAGCATCTTACTCACTGGGCCAGATGCCTGCCCCATCCACAGACTTTATGGATACATTTGTTTATTGCCTATCTCTCTTCCAAGTTAAAATGGCGACCCCATGAGAGCTAATCCTGTCCCAGCACGTGGGCAGGGTCTTGCCTATAGTGGATTTTCCAAAGTATTTGTGGGTTCAAAAATACATAAATACTGAATATATAAATATATACTATGAGGCATTGCTTCACACAGTTTTCATTATACTACATTAGTACATTAATCAGGTTACCACAGTATTCAGCTCACTTTTTTGACTTTATGAACTGTAAAATATGTACTGTTAGGTGCTTTATTTAATGTTTTAACAGATCAAAGTCTTGAAAATGAAGTGAACTCTACAACCAATACAAACAAAGGAAGTAGTTATAATGCTTACTGTTTTGTTATTTTTCTGCATACTTATATCTGGAAATAGAATACAGAAATTTTTTTTCCTCTGTCGCTGGTGTTAAAAATCCCACATACTTCATTTATTGCAAAGTCAACCAGGGAGTAATCTAGAATTGAGTGGTTGTTTCTACTGGGGTTGTTTTGTTCTTTGCATTAAAAGGGTTCAGACTTTTTTTAATTGCTGCTTTTAGTCTGTATATCACAATCTCCGACATCTGGATACAAATTGAAAAAAAACCCAAGTTAACATCTGCTCGCTTCCAAATATCTGTGTCTTTGATGTTATATAGATGAAACCTCAGAGCTTTTTTGATATGATCTGAGCAGAGTTACAGAATGTGGATAAACAGTGAAAAAGTACCTTCCTATGTATGGTCTTTGCTCCATGTGGTATCCTCTGTAGACCAAAGGAGCAATTTACGGGTGCTGCATATGTGGAAAACACATGTAGATGTAATAAGAAAAACAAAATTCCCTTATTATCAGAAGCAGGCATATACTAAAGGGTAACAAAAAACACTAGAGTGGTTTAAGTGACTGTGAATTTTTATATTATAGTCAACTTATCATGTTTCAGAACATTTCAGAAACTATAGATTTTAATCTTTCTATTGTTTGTTACCAAAACAATTACTCAAGGTTTGTAATGCAGCACACATTTGTAAGTACTAAAAGCAGTTACCAGTTTGCACGTCATGGATTTTAATAAATTTGTATATTTCACACAATACAGTTTTTAAAATAATTTTTTTAGGAATACAAATTTCTTAAGTACAACTTTAAGAAAATAGTTATTCTTTCCATCATACCCACCCTCCCACCCCTACTCCCACCCCTCCTCCTCCTCCTTCTCCCCTTCTCAGTCCCATTCTCCATTAAGATTCATTTTCAATTAACTTTGTACACCAAAGACCAACTCTGTACTATGTAAAGATTTCAAAAATTTGAACACACATGCACACACACACAAAAACTGTTTGGGAGCTGATTCTACAGTTAACTCTCATATTACAACTCATTGAGGACAGATGTCCTACATGGGGAGTTAGTGCACAGTGACTCCTGTTGTTAATTTAACAATTAACACTCTTATGCATGATGCCAGTGACCACCTGAGGCTCTTGACATGAGCTGCCTAGGCTATGGAAGCCTTTTGAATCCACAAACTCAGTCAGCATTTAGACAAGACCATAGGCAAAGTGGAAGTTCTCTCCTCCCTTTAAAGAAAAGTATATTCTTCTTTGATGGCCACTTCTTTCTGCTGGGATCTCACTCACAGAGATCCTTCATGTAGAACAGTTTTGACACAGTGTCTTGGCTTCCCATACCTGAAATACTCTCAAGGGTTTTTCGGCCAAACCAGGAAGTCTAAAGGGCTGATTCTGAGGTTAGAGTGCTATTTAGGGCATTTGTCATTCTATGAGTCTGCTGTTTGGACTGCTTCCCATGTTGGAACATTCTCTCTTTTTAAATTCTATCTGTTATTATTATCAGACACTTGATCCTATTTATGATCCTTTAACACTTAATCCTATCTATGTATTCACTTTAACACTTAATATGACCATTTTAACACTTAAGATGGCATTTTTGCCACCCAACTTAATGGGATTTGGGGTCTCATGACAAGTTTTTAAACTGTACCCTCAGAAGTAAGTCCATAGGAATGTGTGCAGAACTATACAGTTACAAACTTACTCCTCCCTCTCTTATTCCCACTCTTATTTTTTACTGAGATCAATTCTCAATTGACTTTATACGCATATGATTAACTCTGTGTAAGGTAAAGAGTTCAACAAATAGTATGAAGAAAAAAACAAAACAAAACTGTTCTTTGACAGTCAAACAAAGGCAGCTCAAGTCATCCCTTCTTAAAGTGTCAATTCACGTCTACAGATTTCATTTTAGGTGCTCTATTAGTTCTCACAGATCAGGGAGAACATATGGTATTTGGGACAAGCTTATTTCACTAAATATGGTGTTCTCCAGATTCATCCATTTTGTTGCAAATGACAACTTCTGTGTAGCATTCCATAGTGTACATATCCCATAATTTCTTTATCCAGTCTTTGCTTGACAGGCTTTTAGGTTGATTCCATGTCTTAGCTATTGTGAATTGAGCTGCAATAAACATGTTGGGGTATAGTTAACTCTTTTACTTACTGATTTCATTTTTCTTGGGTAAATTCCCAGGAATGGGGTGGCTGGGTCATATGGTAGGTCTATATTCAGATTTTTGAGGTATACAGTCTTCCATAGTGACTTTACCAGTTTACATTTCCACCAACAGTGGATATGGGTACCTTTTACCCCACATCCTTGCAGGCATTTGTTGTTTGTTGATTTCTGTATGAAAGCCATTCTAACCAGGGTGAGGTGAGGTGATTGTGGTTTTGTTTTGCATTTCCCTGATGGCTAGTGATCCTGAGCATTTTTTCATGTGTCTGTTGGCCATTTGGATTTCCTCTTTTGAAAAATGTCTGTTTAAGTCCTTTGCCCATCTCCTAACTGGATTGTTTGTTTTGTTGTTGTGTAATATCTTGATCTCTTTATTTTGGTTATTAATCCTTTATCAGTTACATAGTTTGTAAATAATTTCTCCCATTCTGTCAATTACCTCTCCACTTTTCTTAGTGCTTCTTTTGCAGTACAGAAACTTCTCGATTTGATTTAATCCCATTAATTTTGGCTTTGACTGGCTGTGTCTCTGAGGTCTTTTCCAAGAACTCTTTGCCTGTGCCTATATCTTTCAGGATTTCCCCAATGTTATCTAATAATTTGATGGTGTCTGGTCATAGATTTAGCTCTTTAATCCATGTTGAGTGGATTTTTATGTAGGGTGTTAGGTAGGGGTCTTGCTTCATACTTCTGCATGTGGAAATCCATTTTTCCCAGCAACATTTGTTGAAGAGACTATCCTTACTCCAGGAATTGGTTTTAGCTCCTTTGTCAAATATAAGTTGGTTGTATACAGTTTTGTGATAGAAATCTTGCTGGTGGACGTCAACTTTACAAAATATGGATTCTCTAAAGTTGCTTTTAGAGTTCCACAACATATTGGAAGTGAACAGGATATACCTTCTAAAATGTTACATAAAGCAATATATAGACTATTACATAATGTTCTGTGTACCTGGCAAAAATTAAGGGCATAGCATTAAATGCATCAAAATATGGAGAGTTCTAATGCAATATTTGCTAGGGTCAAATGGCTCCAGGATTAAAATATTGCTTTACCAATCTCAGTGAGTTTCAGAGAGGTATAAATATCTACCTATTTCTACATAGTCACCTTTAGCCATCTTTACCTCTTCAGTATGATCTTAATGAGTGTCTATACTATTGCTGAGATAGTTTAATCCATTTATTATCAAGCCACTCTTAACTTCATCATTTTTTTCAATGTTTTAAAGGGGCCAGAGCCTTGACAATCTCATCAAAGTGACCTCTGAAGTAAACAGAAGTAACCAAGGGTGAGGATTGTGTCTTATCTCTCTTCCTTCTCCCTTGCCATCAATCTGTGGCACTCATAAAAGATGTGTTGAAAAACCTTTGGATTAAGATCAGAAAGTCTGAAATCCATTACTCTCCAGCTGGGTGTCTTTGAACAAGTCCCTTGAATGTGAACTGCAGCTTCCTTAGTTATAAAATGAGAATCATAATGTTTGTTCTATCTTTATCATTGCATGGTTAATAAGGATCTAGTGAAATGATGGATATAAACTCTATTTAAAATAAAAAGCTACTACAAATGGAAACTATTATCTAGTTTAGTTTTAACTGTAGCGCTAGAGATGCAATTCTTGAGGAGACTTGGTAAGAGTTTTTGGCAAATCATTACATTGTTTCTGAACTGATTATTTTACAAAAATTAAATCTTGCCCTAATTTCATGGTTTTGTTTTGAAGGTAAGTGGGAAATTAAACCAACATATCCACGATTTATAGGAAGGTCATAAATTCCTCTCTATACCAAGTGTGTAGGAGAAGGCATTTGGCCTAGTGGTTAAGATGCTTGTTAGGATGCCTGCATTTCCGTATTGGTTTACCTGGGTTCAATTCCCCACTCTGGCTTCTGACACCAATGTTATGCCAATACAGGCCCTGTGATGCACCGGTGATAGCACAATTAGTAGGGGTTCGTGTCACCTATGCAGGAGACCAGATTGAGTTTCCAGCTCCCAGCTTTGCCTTCACCAAGCCCCATCTATTGCAGGCATTTGAAGAGTGAACCAAACAATTGGTGATTCTCTCTCTCTCTCTCTCTTTTTCTCTCACCCTTCTTCCCTCTCTCTCTCTCTTACTCAAACAAAACAAAAATTTAAATGATGGTCTAGATAGGTATTAATTCCTCTAAGAACTTAGTAAAATTTATCTTGAGCACCTGCATCCTTTAAATCAAAGCAGTTAATTAAGAGTTAGGTGTTTTTCTACAGTGGTGAAGATGCCACTCAGGATACCCAGATTCCATGGCAGAATGCTTGGGGTTCAGACCCAGCTCGGCTTCTGATTCCAGCTTCATGCTCATACATACCCTGAGAGGAATCAGATGATGGCCCAAGTACTTGAGTCCTTGCAACACATATGGCAGACCCAGATTGAGTTCCAGGATCTTGGCTTCTGCCTGGCCCACTCCAAGGTTTTCCAAGTATTTGGGGAGTAAACCAATGGAAGGAAGTTGTCTAGCTCTCTCTTTGTCTTTCAAATAAACAAATAACAGCCAATTGATTTAATTCCATTTTTATTTATCATGATTTTGTTTGTTTTGTTAAAAGGTCTGAAAATCTTAACAACCTCATCAAAGTGAATCCAGGAACAGGAAAAAGTGTACAATGGTAAAATTTAATGTGCTCCTCTTTTTTGTTTCATGCTAACCAATGCTTAGACATATAATTAAAATCATCATTTCAGCAGACTGATGCTGAACCCAATGATGGTTCAAGAAAAGAAATCTAGCACTAACTATCTCACAGCCAAAAATAAAGGTAAAGACTTGAGTCGATGATTTCTGATACAATGAAAGTGCCATTTGGTTCATTAGGTTTACAGTTTTCCCACAGAATGGAAGGATTTACTTTTCTTATGCACAAGGGATAGCACAATAGACATAAAAGAGAACTAGACTGGAGTCCATAGATGTGAGTGTCGGCCTGACTTTACCCCCTTATCTGTGTGGTCTGAGACTTTCTTCTATTTGGACTTTCGTTTTCTCATCTTCACAGTGAGGGGATTGGACTGGGTGCTCACTGGACATTTTCACTGCTAATTCAGTTCCTAAGTTCCAATAGGATGGCTGGAGTCATGGTAAAGCCCAAGAGTTCTGGTAAAGGATGACTTAGATTTAAATCCCAGTCCTGCAACTGTTAGCCCCGTGCAAAATTTACATAATCTTCCTGTGTCCTGTGTGTTGTTCTTTCTATGAAATGGCGATGATAATATACGTGTTTCTTATGCCATGGGATTGGTAGAAAGATTAAATTAGATATAACTCATGGAAATCACATACAGCAGTGTCTGGTATATCACAAGTTTTCTAAAACCATTGCTTACTATTAATTGTTTCTATTTAATTAGAGTTAGGTTCTAATATACATATTCATATTCATATTTACAAATGCATTGATATATATTCATAGTCACACTGAAAAATCTCAACCTACTGAAATGATTTATGTTTTAATAAATATTTTATAATAAAAATATTTCTCAGTTTCAACAAGTATTTTCAGACATTTGATATAAATCTACCACTGATCTGGTTATTTCTTCCATGTTTTTAAGGGATCAAAGTCTTGACAGTCTCATCAAAGTGGCTCCTGAAACAAACAAAATGAAAGAACAAGGGTAAGGGTTATGGACCTTTTTTATCTTTACATTTTTTCCTCTATTCAACTTAAAAAATATGATAAGGTGCTCTGCTCTACCACAGTGACAACCAGTGATGGAACCCAAAATCAGTAGGTCTTGTGTCACCTACTTAAGGGCTGATGTTTAAGTCTTTGCTCAGGGCTTGCTGGCTATGGGATTTGTGGGAAAGAGAATTCCTTGAGATGCAAGAGTATTCCTTTCCCGGTATGAGATTTATATACCACACTTGAGATTTCTTTAAAACAAGTGGAGATTCCATGGCATGAAGCATTACCCCAGAACAATTTCCCAGAGCTAAGCAGTTGAAAGAAATGTCTTCATGTAATCACAGTTGTCCCTCCTTCTCTGTCCAATATTTATACCATATCTTCCAAGTTCCTTCTACCCTGACAATTTCTAAAGTTGGAGGAGGTTTTAAAAATTGGATTCATCTTGGTGTAGGGTGTGTGGCATAGTGGGTAGGGCTGTTGCCTGCGACACCAGCATCCCATGTGGGCACCTATCTATCTTTCTGCCGATGGTCTGGGAAAGGAGCCAAGTGCCTAGATTTCTACCACCCATATAGAAGACCCAGATGAAGTTCTTGGCCCCTGGATTCTGCCTGGCTCAGCCCTGGCTATTGCAGCTACTTGGAGAGTGAACCAGCAGATGAAAGGCCTCTCTCTCTCTCTCCCTCTCTCTCTCTCCTTCTTTAACTCTGACCTTCAAAAATCAATTTTTACTCAGTTTGTTGAAATAATAGTGAATGCAAAGAATGCATTTGTCTTTTATGGAGAATTTTTTCTAAGACAAACAGTGTTTGCTGTGCCTGAGCCAGTGCAAACAGAGGAGTGCCACATGCCACACACTGATAAGCTTTGGATTCCTTTATTGCCAGCAGTTGAGTGGATTCTCGGCCCTGAAGCTCAAAGCAACAGGGTTCATAAAGGCAAAAACCGCAGGGAGGGGAGGGAGAATACATGGTTGCTAGGGTCAAGATGACCTAAGGGCTATGTGAAACTAATATCAATTGCAATCTTGACAATACCAGTTACAATCTTGACAATACCAACATTAGTCCAGATATCAACCTAAATCATATGTGGGATATGTGTTTTAAGCTTGAGTGATCATGCTAAGGAGTTTCTAGGTTCTGCCAAGTGGGATGCAGTGTACTGTTATTATCTAAGTTTGAGACCATGGTTAGTTTCAGACCATAGTCTCACGGTAGGGCTGCTTTCTCAAAATGGGGTCCAGGGTGCTCTAAAATTGAGTCCCTACTGTCAAGGTGTCACTTCATGTTAAATAAATGAAGAAGCATAACAAAACCATGAAGTGATAAATATATATTTTTAAGTTAGTTTCAATGTGTTACATACAAATGATTCTAAGATATGTATCTTCTTCATATATGTTTTTTTGAAGATTTATTTATTTATTTATTTGAAAGAGTAACAGAGAGGGACAGATGTAACTTTGTGATGATTGCCTGTCTTAATTTGCATATATGAATGCTCTCTATATTTACAACATGTAGCTATCAAACAGAGCTAATTTAGACTAAATCAGAATTCAGAAACTTCTTAAAGGGCTAGATAATTCACTTTGAGGGGTGGGGCAAAACAGCTCTGTTTTAACCCATCGATTCTTCCAGTAGAGTGAAGTCAGCCATAGAAAGTAATTTGTAAAAAATGGGTAAGCCAGACTGCAGGCTGGATTTAACTTAATGGCCACAGTTTTCTTACCACTAGACCAGATAGTGATTTGTCTGAGTGAGAAAGGAAGTCCAGCTCCGTGTGTATGTGAGGTGGCTTCTAAAATATAGCCTGCTCCCCCCACCTTTTAGAGTACATATATTTATTCAATAACTTTGTGTTTACAGATATAATCACTTCATCTAAATATTTACTCTTAAGTTACCCTTAGATCTTATTCACTAAATAAAAATACACCTTTACTGTCATTGCCTGAGGGTCTGGATTGATGGGAAATAATATAATACTTTGCATTCCTGATTTTTAGCCAGTCAAAGGCAGTCCTCTTTTGTCCTCCCAAGATGACTTTGTTTCTGAAAGTGAACTTGGCTTTCATTATGTAACCTTTTCCTATTCAGCATCTGAGCTGCTATTTTATTAGTCATGTGCTACCATTTGTTGCTTTTGGTTGAGTGTCCAATTCTTGTTGGTAAAAAGATTCTTTTTTTTTTTTTTTTTAAATTTTTTGACAGGCAGAGTGGACAGTGAGAGAGAGAGACAGAGAGAAAGGTCTTCCTTTGCCGTTGGTTCACCCTCCAAGGGCCGCCGCGGCGGGTGCGCTGCAGCCGGCGCACCGCACCTATCCAAAGGCAGGAGCCAGGAGCCAGGTGCTTCTCCTGGTCTCCCATGGGGTGCAGGGCCCAAGCACTTAAGCCATTCTCCACTGCACTCCCTGGCCACAGCAGAGGGCTGGCCTGGAAGAGGGGCAACCGGGACAGAATCCGGTGCCCCGACCGGGACTAGAACCCGGTGTGCCGGTGCTGCAAGGCGGAAGATTAGCCTAGTGAGCCGCGGCGCCGGCTGGTGAAAAGATTCTTAAGTCCAAAGAACATTTACAGACTATGTGGTCTTGGATAAATTGCTTAATATCCTTAAAACCTCAGGTTCTTTATCTGTAAAGTCAGGATCCTAAGAGTTAATTAATTCCTTCACGATTCGCTAGAAAAAAAACCATGCAATTATGCTTGAAAAGCATTTTGTTCTCAACTACATATTTGTTACACATTATCTACTAGTATTATTATTACTGTTACTAATTTTTTCTTCGTTTTGTTGATTCTCCATAGACCCACTTAATATTCACTCGAAGAAATACCAAAGAGATTATCCTATTAAGTTGAACCTTATGAAATTACCGATATTCACCTATTTTTGCCCCACAAAATAAAAATTCAATTACTTCAACATAATAGAATAAAAAACTTTATATGAGGCCGGCGCCGCGGCTCACTAGGCTAATCCTCCGCCTAGCGGCGCCGGCACACCGGGTTCTAGTCCCGGTCGGGGCGCCGGATTTTGTCCCGGTTGCCCCTCTTCCAGGCCAGCCCTCTGCTGTGGCCCGGGAGTGCAGTGGAGGATGGCCCAGGTGCTTGGGCCCTGCACCCCATGGGAGACCAGGAAAAGCACCTGGCTCCTGGCTCCTGCCATCGGATCAGCGTGGTGCGCCGGCCGCAGCGCGCCGGCCGCGGCGGCCATTGGAGGGTGAACCAACGGCAAAGGAAGACCTTTCTCTCTGTCTCTCTCTCTCACTGTCCACTCTGCCTGTCAAAAAAAAAAAAAAAAAAAAAACTTTATATGGAAGGCTTTGTACATGATGAAATGAGATTAGTCCCAAAGATAGACTATGTTATTCAAGTCTTTCTGGTCCTTTTTGTTTTGGGCATATATAATGTATTATCCAATAATAAAGCCTATCAAATCAGCCTTCTTGCTTAGGCTTTTTGGACTTAGGTTTGGTATGAGAGCCCAGTGTGATAATAATAGGAGTTATTTAGAGCTTTGATTGTCTATTTGATTGTTCAGAATAAAAACATAAATTATATAGTCGGAAGTCTTGCTTGTTATAATTTAATTTTACATGAAATGTGGTTCTTTTAGCATCTCACAATGGCATCAGTACTTGTATATTCACATTATGAATGTTAACTGCACAAGTTTAACTTAAAATCTGGAAATAACTGTTTTAAAAACACTAAGGTTTTATTTTGTTTGTTTTGAAAAAAAGAAGCAAGGAACATATTGTAATAATAAATAATTTTGTATTTTCTCTTTCTCATTACAACCTCAAAATATTCTCAATTCTAATTGTGCTATATATATCTAAAATGGCACATAATGAGTTTGAGTAATTCTGCTTTGAGGTTGACTTGAAAGAAAAAGAATAGAACTAAATTCTCATATAGAAAGATGTGCAAGAGACAAATTGATAGTAGCCAACTGTTTCTACATAGGACTGAAAAGGAGTTTTGTACTAACAACCATTATTTGATTCAAAATTAAAGTTGAAAACTGTACAGATTATTGATTTTAACTGATTGTGTTAGCTATTGAAACTTACAATACTTTTTTATTTTTAGAAATGAAGACCTGGAGAATCTTAACAGAGTGATCCCCTCACCAAACAAAAGGTAAGCTTAAGTCTCCTGAGCAAATCTCCAATTTATACCAACAAATAAAATTATTTGGCTAGGGATATTTTGAAAGGGACAGGCTAAAAATTAAAACAAGTTGATTTGTTGATGTGTGATAATGCTAGATAGATTTTCCTTTCATTATTGCTTCTATTTATTTCATTGTAGTGTTTAAAATGATAACACCAAAGCTAATTATGTATAATTACCACTTGAGAAATTCCTTTGGACGTAGTAACAACTGGATTGTGACTAAATTTATGCTTAATAAATCAGAAAATGAGTAAACCAAAGAATATTGATTTTCTACTATCTCATAAACCCAAGAATTAATATTTAAGTGACCCATAAGAAAACATATTTGATTAGAATATATTTGCATGACAATGAATTTACTTCTTTGAGAAACTAAAACTATTATTTACTGGAGCAAAGGTTAATAAAGAGCGTGGCAGAGAAACTCCTTGCTACCACTCATAGAATTATTGTGAAGATGAAGTTGGGGGAAAGTGTTGCAGAGATGAAAAGAATTATGGTGAACAGAGGGAGGAAGGGCACAGGAGGAAGCAGTGTGGGATGTGGGTACAGTTGCTGAGGTTTCAATTTTGATTCACTCTCAGCCACTTTTTTTGGTGTCTGGCTCTAGGGAGTGTCTAAATCTTTCTAAAGCTCAATTTCTTTCTTTATAAAGTAGTGGGTGGAGACTGTGGTGATATGTGCTTCATTGAGTTGTTTTGAGGGTTGAAAAACGATGATTAATGTATATATAAATCAGAAATAGTAAGCCTACAACTTTTTGCACTAGGAGTCCACTGAATGAGTTACAAATATAAACAAAAATACCATTCATGACATTTGATATTTTGTGGTTGGATTTGATCTTTTTCATTTTATTTTCTTTCAGCAGTGAAAACACTCTTGATGAACCCAGTAATGTAAGCCTCAAAGCTGCCAAAAATACTTCTGGGTAAGAAAAGAATTATTCATTTGTTTGTTTTCCCTTAACTAAACACAATATTAATACAAATAACATATTCATTTTATGGACAAATTTAATGTTGGCCTTGAAAAAATAGTCACATTAAAGAAATTATTTGAAAGACAGAGAGGAAAGAGAGAGATGGAAAGACGGACAGATAGACACAAAGTGACAGACAGAAAGAAGTAATTCTCATTCTCTGGTTCATTCTACAAATGCCAGCAACAGCTATAGCTGAGCCAGGTGGAAGCCAGGAGCCCAGAACTCAACTTGGGCCTCCGACGCTGGTGACAGGAACCCAGGTATTTGAACTAGCACCACTGCCCCCCAGGGTGCTCATTAGTAAGCAAATGGAATTAGGAGCAGTGCCGGCACTTGAACTCAAGTCCGATATAGGATGTGGGTATCTTTAACTGCTGTACCAAATACCTACCCCATCAGTTTTTATATTCACATACAAACTGATATATCTATTTGTTAACATCAAGAAAGAGGCAGTTGTATGAAGATGACTTCATTTCTGTCAGCCTCAAGAAAAGCAGCTGAAGGGAGAGATTGGAGAAGCATGGGGTAGGAATATAACTAGTCCACAGCTTTTTTGCCTTTTTTGTATGTGGTATTTGTATTCTTTTGTCTCTGGAATGGATTAAAATTTATTAATGATAGTTAACTTTAAGGAAAAGACCCACACAATTCATTAGACTCATCATTAGCGTACCACTGACTTCTTGGGAAAGTGTTTTCTGATAGTCAGTGGAAATTTTATTTATCGTCCATCAGAGGGTTTGCTTTTCCCAGCAAATTTATGGACCTGAAATTTGAGAATTCTGTAAGTAGTGTCTATAAGATAATGAAATTTACTTTTTGTTTCTAATTGTATGAAAATTTTTATTTCATTACACATTACTATAATGTACGTATCTGCCTTATCTGTCTTAAGAATGTTTTCATGATTTCCTTTGGCAAGTTTTGTTGGTTCTTACAAAAATCACAAAATTTGAGAAGTGCAAGGAAGGAACCTTAGATAATCTTGACCTAGTTAAATGAACAATCTTGAAAATCACTGTTCCAGTTAAACTTGTTCGTTTTGTCAATGAGGAAATTAAGACTCAGGAAGGTTAAGGGGTTTGACCAGGGTCACCGAGAAAGTGAGTGGAAGAGTGAAAGTGGCTCTGTGATCTCTTAGGCAGTGAATAATTACTGAGTACCTCCTATGTTCACAGCTTACAACTAGGTATCATTAGTTGCACATTAGGGTAATTATAGGCTGCGGACACCAAGAAGAGAATTCAGTAGTCATACTCAATCTTATTAAAGCAGGCAATTAACATAGATTAAAGCTAATTATGTTCCAGGGGCATAGAGATGTTACTCTAAGACAATAATAGGTTGTCAGTTTAAAATATTACATTTTCAAGCACTCACATACTGCTTGCTGAATATAGAATGTATTGTCAGCATTTAGAGGAAAAAAATACATTAAAAACCTAATATAATAAACACTAAGGTAATACAATTCATACTCCTGGAGTCCTATGAATAGAGATTAGAGATAGACACAGATTAGAGATTATCCAGTCAAAGCTTTTCATTTGTAGATAAGAATACTAAAGCCAGGGGCAAAGATCTCATAGCCTTCTGTGAAGTCTCCTAATTGGCAGCCCAACTTGAGTCACAACCCCCAGCACATAGTCTTTGCTCTTCAAATGAATGACTGTTCATTAAGCACCTCAAGAAATAGTGTAGGCTGTCAAGAAGTGATTGCTACTGTTGTAGGACAACCAGAAGACATCCTTTACTGTTCTCTAAGGGTCACTTGAAGTATTTTTCATAGATGACAATGCACAAATGTGCAAATGACAACAGAACACATTACTGCTTTGAACTCCCTGGAAGTAATAATACCCAAATATTCTAATGGATACTTTACTATATTTTTAAGCAAATTTAATGTAGTAACTTAAGAAGCAAAAATGCTTATTGCTTTTGTATAAAATTTAGATGTCCTTTGTTTGCCAGATCCAAATCCTGAAAAAAAAAGTCTGTATGTTTATTATTTTCAATTCATTGAGATAAATTACATAATACTATTGATCCAAAAGTACAGCAGCGTTCCATTGATCCATGATTTTTTTTTTCTTTTGACAGGCAGAGTGGACAGTGAGAGAGAGAGAGAGAGAGAGAGAGAGAGAAAGGTCTTCCTTTTGCCGTTGGTTCACCCTCCAATGGCCACTGTGGCCGGCGCACTGCGCTGATCCGAAGCCAGGAGCCAGGTGCTTCTCCTGGTCTCCCATGTGGGTGCAGGGCCCAAGGACTTGGGCCATCCTCCACTGCACTCCTGGACCATAGCAGAGAGCTGGAGAGGAAGAGGAGCGACCGGGACAGAATCCGGCGCCCCGACCGGGGACTAGAACCTGGGGTGCTGGCGCCGCAGGCAGAGGATTAGCCTACTGAGCCGTGGCGCCAGGAAGATCCATGATTTTTGTTAGGAGTAGGGATAGAACATAGCATGAATTTTTGTTTTCTAAGCTAGGGTTTCTTCTTTTTTCTAATTTTTTTTAAAATTTTGTTTAAGGAATACAACTTCATGAATTTAATATATACAGCTTTGGGAACATGATGCTTCTTCCCCCTCCACCTCCCTCCCACCCATACTCCCGTCTTAAACTAAAGTTTTAGTAACAGTGGGTCACAACCCGTTAAAGTGTCTTGCAATTAAATTAGTGAGTGTCAATCAATATTTCCCCCTTTAATTGAATTAGAGGAATTGAATAGAAAATTTTGGAGTCTGTTTTATGTAGTAAGGATATTATTTCATGAAATATGTACTTGTGTCTGTATATTTGTTAAAAAGAGTAGTGGGCTGTGATGTAAAATGTTTATTAGGTCTTGTAAAACAGTGATTTGAATTCAGATTTTCTGTGCTTAGCAGAACAGTAAAAATGGAAGCTCCCATATCTTTATTTTCTGTGCTGTTTATTATGCTGGCCATGGATATTATATATGAATTTACACTAAAATATTGAGATTAATTTTATATATTAAAAACTATAGCTTTTGAACATACTGTTCCCATCTGCAAAGTTTTATGCTTTGTTATTTTTCCTTTTAATATGTGAAATTAACCTCATTTTAAGGATTGTTGTCTTTCTGGTACAATTTAGCTTTATAACAGATTTTTTTTCTTACCTCTGTTATCTCAGCACCTGTTTTATAACAGATTTTACAATCCATTTATACAAGGAAATTGTTTTGAATAGTTCTCATATGCCGTTCATTCTTTGGATGGTATTTATAGATACCAGTTGATTATCTTTAATTGAGAATATTATAATTGAAGAGAATTCAAAACACTAAAAATTCAATTAGGGATTTTCCACCTACTGTGCAGAGCTGAGAACCATGGCAATGAAGCTGAATGAAGCCAGGACATGAGAAGTACACTTTGTGGAAAGGCAAGGGCTGATGGAGGCCATGTAGACCTTTACTAGACTTTCTTGATGAATAATCTCGAAATTGCTTTGCTTTAGTTCATATCTTTGCATCAATCCCTTTGTTGAGTAAAATATATTTGATTTTTATATCAAGAAAAAAGACGTTCAGGGGGAGGAGTACAGTCAAGGTGTCCACAGTGGCACTGGAAGTAGACGTTGTCAGTTCTCCAGTTTCTTTCCATGGCACCTGCCATATATTTCTCCACACAAATATAGAACAAGAGTTTAGAGGAACACTGAAAAACCACTACTTTCCAGTCCACCAAGACAGTGAATGATAGTGGACCATGTGGGAGGAAATAATGTTTGGTGACTTAGAAAAGAAGCTGATAGAGCTTGGAGTACCGGATGGACAGTTTTCAGAGCATGAAACTAAAGTTAACTATGAATAATTGAGTTTAATTTAGTTTTCAGTTACGATAGAAGAAAATCACAATTATGGGTTGTTGGAACTCCTTTTTACCAAGCCTTCTGTTAAGAATAGTCTCAGTTTGAGAGCTTAGTTGTTTTTTTTTTTTTATAATTGATAGTCTTAGTTTTTTTTTTTTTTTTAATAGTTGGCTTTTTTCCAAGCAATGAGATGTTCCTCTCTCCTTTTTTTTTTTTTTTTTTCTTTTTTCTTTTTGACAGGCAGAGTGGATAGTGAGAGAGAGAGACAGAGAGAAAGGTCTTCCTTTTGCCGTTGGCTCACCCTCCAATGGCTGCCATGGCTGGCACGCTGCTGCCGTCGCACCGCGGCCGGCGCATCGCGCTGATCCGAAGGCAGGAGCCAGGTGCTTCTCCTGGTCTCCCATGGGGTGCAGGGCCCAAGTACTTGGGCCATCCTCCACTGCCTTCCCGGGCCACAGCAGAGAGCTGGCCTGGAAGAGGGGCAACCGGGAAAGAATCCGGCGCCCCGACCGGGACTAGAACCCGATGTGCCAGTGCCGCAAGGCGGAGGATTAGCCTATTGAGCCGCGGCGCCGGCCGATAGTCTCAGTTTTTGAACATGCTTCAAAGATAAGCACACTGGAATCAATTTGAATCTTCATAATGTTAAAACAATTCAGAGAGAAAAATTGTCAGTCTATCTAGCCATCATGCCCTGGAAGATACACTCTAGTAATAAAGCACTTGAATGCAGAGTCAGTTTTCTTCCCTTCCCTGGGTTGGTTAGAAAACATACTTCATGGTTGTTCTATAAGCAAGCTATATATAACTCCATTACCCTTTCTTGCCATTTCCAGTGACCTTAAACCCATTTATCTCTATCCCAAGCCACTTTAATATTTTTTTTTCTGTTTAAAGAAACCATGATCTTGATAAACTCATCAAGGTGAATCCTGAAATTCTTGCAACCAACCAAAGGTAATTATATTATTTTTAATCTGTTCTGGTCAGGAAATATATTTTGTTTTATAATTTCAAGCAGATTTACAACCTTAATAATCTTTAGTTTTTAAAGATTTTATTTATTTTGTTTGAGAGTTAGAGTTCCAGACAGTGAGAGAGACAGAGAGAAAGGTCTTCCTTCCATTGGTTCACTCCCCAGATGGCCGCAACAGCCGGAGCTGCACCAATCCGAAGCCAGGAGGCAGGCACTTCTTCCTGGTCTCCCATGTGGGTGCTGGGGCCCAAGGTCTTGGGCCATCTTCTACTGCTTTCTCAGGCCATAGCAGAGAGCTGGACTGGAAGAGGGGCAGCTGGGACTAGAACTGGCGCCCGTATGGGATGCCGGCGCTGCAGGCAGAGAATTAACCTACTACTCCATTGTGCCAGCCCCAACCTTAATAATCCTAACAAAATAATTAATCTGTTCTCTTTTTATTGTTCTATTTTCAGAAACCAAGATCTGGATAACCTCATCAAAGTGAATCCTGCAGTAATCAGAAGCAATCAGAGGTAATTAAATCAAAGCAATCAAGTCATGTTTTCATCTGTCTCTTGCCTCTGAATGACGTGCATTGATTATGTTGGTTTATTGACCTCATACAACTCAATATCCTATTACTAATGTCAGCTTCCTTTTTCTTTTAAACAGCTCAGAGTTGGACCATCTCATTAAAGTGAAACCTTCAGCTCTCAGAAACACTAGTCGGTAAATGACCTTGCCTATCTTGATATAATCCCAAGGTTCTAGGGTAGGAATTCTGTTTCTTCTTTTCTTTTTAAAGAAGGATTTTATCTTTCTTTAGTGTTTTAAATTAGAACACTTGCTAGAACATACAAAATATGAGTCTTAGAAGTTGGAGATTACAAATTTGTTTAATTTAATTTTTATTTTCTATCTTCTATTTTTAAATAGAGAAATATATAGTACATTAACATTATCCATAGACACCCTATTGTGTAATAAACCCCAGAACATACTACTCCTATGTAGCTCTAATATAGTACCTGTCAGCCAACCATTCCCCATCCCTGTCTCCTTACTTTCCAGCCTCTGGTAGTCACCATTATTTTTAGCTTTTTTGAGATCACCTATTTTTTAGTCTCCACGGATGAGTGAGATCATGTGATACTTGTCTCTCTATGCTTGGCTTATTTCACTTAAAATGACTTCCATTTCCATTCATATTGTTGTAAATGATAAGATTTCAATCTTATGGCTAAGTAGTATTCCATTGTATATACATACCACATGTTTTTATCGAGTTCATTGGTGGATGGACACTTAGGTTGTTTCCATTTGTTGGCTACTGTGAATATTGCTGTAATAAGCATGAGTATGCAGATATCTCTTCAACAAATGGATTTCATTCCCTTTGATATATACCTACTAATGGGATTTCCAGAGCATATAGTAGACCTACTTTTAATATTTTGAGGAACCTCCCTTCTGTTTCCAGCCAAAAGGGCTTCCTTTTCTCTACATCCTGGCCAATTCTTGTTATCTGTTATCTTTTGACATGAGCTAATTTATGATTGAGGTGATATCTCATCGTGATTTTGATTTGCATTTCCCTAATGATTACTGATATTGAACATTTTTTGACTCTGCTTAATTTGTATGTCTCCCTTTGAGAAATGTCTGTTTATATCTACTGCCCATTTTCAAATTAGATTATTTGCGTTGTTTTCTTGCTTTATTTTTTTGTTATTCAGTTGTTTGAATCCCTTATATATTCTGAATATTAAGCACTTGTTAAATGTATAATTTACATATGTTGTCTGTCATGCTATAGTTTATTTCTTCATTCTGTTGGTTGTTTCCTTTCCTATTGAAAAGTTCTTTAGTTTGCAGAAATCTCATTTGTCTATTTTTTATCTTATTTCCTGTGCTTTTTTGGTCTGATCTAGAAAATCCTTGCCCATTCCAATGTCCTGAAGTGTTTTCCCTATATTTTCTTGTAATAATTTCAAAGTTCCAGGTCTCACATTTAGGTCTGTAACTCATTTTGAGTTAAGGGTCTTGTTTCATTCTTCTGCATGTGGATATCCAATTTTGCCAGCACCACTGATTAAAATGACTATCTTTTTCCCAAGGCATGTTCTTAACCCCTTTGTCAAACATCAGTGGATATAGAAGTGTGTGTTTACTTCCAGGGTCTATATTCCGTTCCAGTGGTCTGTGGATCTGTTTTTATGCCAATATCATTGCTGTTTTAATTACTGTAGCTATTTAATGTATTCTGAAGTCAAGTAGTGCAATGCCTTCTGCTTTGTTCATTTTGTTCAAGCTTGCGTTAGCTTTGCTGGGCCTTTTGTGGTTCCAGACAAATTTAGTACCTTTTTCCCCAGGTCTGTGAAAAATATTATTGGAATTTTGGTAGGGATTACATTGAATCTGCAAGTCATTTCATGTAGTAGGCACATTTTAATGATAATGAGTCTTCTAATCCATGATCAAGGGATATCTTTATATTTCTTTGTGTTCTCTTTATTTTCTTTCATCAATGATTTATAGTCTTTATTATACAGGTTTTTTTGTTTTGTTTTGTCTGTTTGGTTCAATTTATTCCCAGGTGTTTTTAAATAGTCTTTGTGAAAGGTATTGCTTTCTTACTTTCCTTTTCAGATGAATCATGATTTGTTTATAGCAGCATTACTGATTTTTTTTTTTTTTTTTTTTTTTGACAGGCAGAGTGGACAGTGAGAGAGAGAGACAGAGAGAAAGGTCTTTCTTCGCCATTGGTTCACACTCCAATGGCCGCTGCGGCCGGTGTGCTGCGGCCAGCGCACCGTGCCTATCCGAAGGCAGGAGCCAGGTGCTTCTCCTGGTCTCCCATGGGGTGCAGGGCCCAAGGACTTGGGCTATCCTCCACTACCTTCCCGGGCCACAGCAGAGAGCTGGCCTGGAAGAGGGGCAACCGGGAAAGAATCCGGCTCCCCGACCAGGATTAGAACCCGGTGTGCCAGTGCCGCAAGGCGGAGGATTAGCCTATTGAGCCGCGGTGCCGGCCGCATTACTGATTTTTATATGTTGACTTTGTATTCTGCAAATTTGCTGAATTTACTTATTAGTTCTCAGATTTTTGATGGGTTCTCTGGGGTTTTCTATATATGATATTACGTCATCTGTAAACAATGACACATTTGACTTTTCCTTTCCAATTTTGATACCCTTTATTTCTTTATCTTGACCAATTTTTCTAGTTAAGACTTCCAATACAATATTAGATGAAGTTGGTAAAAGTGGGCATTCTTGTATTGTTCCAGATCATAGGAAATCTTCAGCTTCCCCCCCCATCAATATGTTGCTAGCTGTTGACTTTATATATTGTCTTTACTATGTTAATGTATCTTCCATCTATGGATGCTAAATTTTATCAAATGCCTTTGCTAACCCTATTGAAATGATATCCAATAGAATTTCTATTCTTTTAAATTTGTTGAAACTTGTTTTTGACCTACCCTATGTGCTATTGAGAAGAATGTGTATTCTTTTCAAATTTTGTAAATATCTGTTAGATCTAATTGATTTAGGGTGCAGTTTAACTCTGCTGTTTCTTTGTTGGTTTTCTGTTTAGAAGATCTGCCCATCACTAAAAATGAATATTAAAGTCCTCTACTATTATTGTGGGGGAATCTATCTCTCCCATTAGGTCTATTAATATTTGCTTTATGTATTTGTGTCCTCCAATATTGAGTGCATATATATTTATAAGTGTCCTTTCCTCTTGCTGAATTGAATTCTTTTCATTTTATAATGGCTTTTCTGATCTCTTTACTGCTTTGGATTTAAGATCTATTTTACTTGATAGAAAGATGGCTACTGCTGCTTCCTTTAGTAATCCATTTGCATGAAATATCTTATATCCTTTCATTTTCAGTCTGTGAGTATCCTTAGAGGTGAAGTGAGTTTCTTGTAAGCCTAAATTTAGTTGGGTCCTGTTTTTAAAATCTGTTTGGCCACTATATGTTTTTAACTGGAGCATCAAGTTCACTGACATTTCAAGTAATTACTGATAAGTAAGGTCATACTACTGTCAGTTTGATACTTCCTTTGTATTATTATTGTAGTTCTTTTCTTCATTCCTCTCTTACAATCTTCATTTGTGGTTATGTGATTTTTATTTGCTGGTATACTTTGATTTGTATAATTTTTGGTAAGTCTGTTATGGGTTCCTGATTTTTGGTTATCATGATGCTTACAGAGAATTTATTTTGTCATAACAAAGTATCTCCAAGTGATAACAATGTAGCATTGATCATAAAGATAAGGAAAGAGACAAACAAAACACAGAAATAAGAAATCCTAATTTTTCAATTCGCAGCTCTCTATTTGTGCTCCATTTCTCCCCTAATTTTGAATTTTTGGTGTTACACCTGACTTCTTTCAATATTGCCTGCCTCCTAACATTTTAATGTAGTGATTTTATTTTTATTTTTTACTCTTCACAGTAAAAAATATACATGGTTTCCAACCATTTATACAATATCAGAGAATTCTGAATTTGTTTATATAATTAGTCTTACCAGTAAGTTTTCCAACTTCTCATATTTTCTTCTTACTTGTTAGGATTCTTTATTTTAGTTTCAAGAACTCTCTTCAGCATTTCTGGTGAGACAGATATGGTGACAATAAATTCTCTCAACTTTTGCTCATCTGGGGATATCTTTATATGTCTCTCAAATCTGGAGGATAACTTTATTAAATACACTATTCTTGACTGGCAATTTTTTCCTTCACCACTGTAAAAGTCTCATCCCATCCCTTCTTGTTCTGTAAGGTTTCTGCTGGGAATTCTACAGTCAGGAAAACTAAGACTGCTTATGTTATTTGTTTCTGTTCTCTTAGATCTTTGAACTCTTTAACCTTGGAGAGCTTGACTATAAAATGTCTTGGGGTTAGACTTGGTTAGGTTGAATGTGTTAGGGACCTTTAACCTTCCTGTACCTGGATAGAAGCATCTTTCTCTAGATTTGGGAATTTTCCATCATTATCTCTTTGAATATGCTATCTACTCCTTTGACATTCTAAAATCCCTCTTGAATCCAAATAATTTGAATATTTGCTCTTTTTGTGCTGCCTTATATTTCCTATAAGGTTTTTTTATTCCCCTTGATTTCTTTTCCCCTTCAACTGTGCATTTTCTTTTTTTTTTTTTAAGATTTATTTATTTGAAAGGCAGAGTTACAGAGAGAGAAAGAGAGAGAGACAGAGAGAGATCTTCCATCTGCTGATTCACTTCCCAAATTGTCACAATACCTGGACCTGGGCCAAGCCAAAGTAAGGAGCCAGGAGCGTCTTCCAGTTCTCCCACATAAGTGCAGAGACCCTTGGGCCATCTTCCACTGTTTTCCTAGGCACATTATCAGAGAACTAAATTGGAAGTAGAACAACTGTAACACAAACCAGTGCCTTATAGAATGCTAGCATCATAGGCATTGGCTTAACCCTCATACACCACAACAGTGGCCATCAATTGTGTATTTTCAAATAGCCTGTCTTTCTTTCTTTCTTTCTTTCTTTCTTTCTTTCTTTCTTTCTTTCTTTCTTTCTTTCTTTCTTTCTTTCTTTCTTTCTTTCTTTCCTTCCTTCCTTCCTTCTTTCTTTCTTTCTTTCTTTCTTTCTTTCTTTCTTTCTTTCTTTCTTTCTTTCTTTCAGACAGTGATGTGTGTATTTATTCATAATTGACACATACAATCATACAT